TTTGGTGAGCCGTTACTGTTCACTTTCAAAATTCAAATTCAAAATGTTTTTTCAGGTAAAAGTACATACACATCCCCCGCTCACGTCAACTGGAAGGCATCAGCAGCATCTAGGAAGTTAACGAAGATAAGAACGTCATCTAAGAATGTAAACCAGGAAATTTGTCAAGTCCATACACACACTGGGGGAGCCGGTCGGCCGAGCGGACAGCACGCTGGACTTGTGATCCTGTGGTCCTGGGTTCAATCCCAGGCGCCGGCGAGAAACAATGGGCAGAGTTTCTATCACCCTATGCCCCTGTTACCTAGCAGTAAAATAGGAACCTGGGTGTTAGTCAGCTGTCACGGGCTGCTTCCTGGGGGTGGAGGCCTGGTCGAGGACCGGGCCGCGGGGACACTAAAAAGCCCCGAAATCATCTCAAGATAACTGCCTTTGTGAGACCATCATTTGAGCATGCAGCACCAATATGGGACCCCACACTTTGTGAGGCATAAAGCAGAAACTTGATACAGTTCAGGGGTTTGCAACTAGAATTGAGAGGCCTCAGGTGTAAGGTATAAACAAGAACAGGGTGAAAAAACTCACTCTCACAACCTTAGAGAAGCGAGGAAATTGAAGGGGATATGATAACTACATACACGATCTTAAGATCTCGAGGGAAATGGACAAAGTGGACAGAGAAAGCCCATTTAAATAAAAAAAACAGAGGTAAGACAGGGGTACAGATGTGGAAGATGGACATGCAATTGTGTGAAATAGATGTGAGAAGGATCTCGTGCCCTGTGCTGGAGGTCGGCAGGTGGAAGGCAGTGGAGGAAGACGTTGTTGAAGCCTATTCCATCCACAACTTTTAAGACAAAAATATGGTAAAAATGTTCATTTTTTAGAGAGGTAATTAGCGGGCCATGGCTAAACGGTTGGGGGTGAGGAGCTAGAGCTCACGCCCCCGTAGTCCCCGATAGGAAAGCATTCGCACCGAAGAACCTTACCCATCACCCGTACCCAAGAACCTTACCCATCACCCGTACCCAAGAACCTTACCCATCACCCGTACCCAAGAACCTTACCCATCACCCGTACCCAAGAACCTTACCCATCACCCGTACCCAAGAACCTTACCCATCACCCGTACCCAAGAACCTTACCCATCACCCGTACCCAAGAACCTTACCCATCACCCGTACCCAAGAACCTTACCCATCACCCGTACCCAAGAACCTTACCTAACACCCATATCGAAGAACCTTACCCAACATAAGACCATAATAATAAAGGTAGCTGCAGAGGACCTATTGACCCATACGAGGCAGCTGCTCCTATTTATAACCACCCAATCCCACTCATATTCATGTCCAACCCACGTTTGAAACAATCAAGGGACCCCCCCCCCCAACAGATTTTTTTTAAAAGACGTCGTTGTGGAGGAGTTAGACAGACCGTCGTGAGACAGGTTAGTTTTACCCTACTGTTAAACTGTGTCGCTGCCACAGCAGTCTTGCTGAGGACGAGAGGAACAGCAGGTCCGGGCAAATCGTTCCGTTCTCGGTCGATCGGCCAGTGGGGGCGAAGCTACGCCCGTGGAATTATGCCTGAAAGCTAACACCCGTACCCAAGAACATTACCCAACACCCGTACCCAACACCCGTACCTAACACCCGTACCCAACACCCGTACCCAAGAACATTACCCAACACCCGTACCCAACACCCGTACCCAAGAACATTACCCAACACCCGTACCCAACACCCGTACCCAAGAACATTACCCAACACCCGTACCCAACACCCGTACCCAACACCTGTACCCACCAAGAACCTCACCTAACACTCCTATCTTAAAGAACCTCACCCATCACCGTACCCAAGAACCTTTCGCTCGAAGTAGCTTCAACTTTTGTTTTCGTCCTCAACCTTCCCCCCCCCCTCCTCCCCCTTCCCCCCTCAGCCTACACCCCATCCCTGAGACCGCCTCCCCCCCTCCCCCCTGGGACCCATGCCCACAGCCCCCCCCCCTCCTACAGGCATAGACCGTCTAGTGTCACAACGCCATAAACTTCCCGCCATTAAAAATAGCCACCTCCAGAGAATAAGCAAGAGGGAGGGACGGGGGGAGGGGGGGGGAGGGACTAGCCAAGGGTTGGCTAGCCTGTGACTAAGGGTATATAAGCCAAGGGTCGTCCCTGGGGGGGTTTAATCATAAGGCCGGCGGCATTTCAGCCATCAGTTGTTTACTGCAGTTGTTGTTATAGATTCAACTACTCGGAACAAGATCCAAGTAGCACGGGCTATGGTGAGCCCGCAACTTACCTGGCACAGGTGTGTTCACTGCAATGTATATGCCTCTTTTCACTGTTTATTATTATAGTTACACTAAAAACCGTGCATCAAACTGGTCTCGACCACTTCCTTATATTGTCCTTCCTGTTTGTTTACGACTCTTAAAACTAAAACTGTTCCTTCTATCATCTCTGACTCGCTTAATTGTCTCCAGTTTCCATATACGTCGTCTGGTTCGACTGTTCCTCACTTTGGGCACTGCTTCTCTATCTACTTGGTGAATTTCCCCCTCTAGAACCTTGTACGTCGTTATCATGTCTACCCTACTCCGTCTTCCCTCCAGTGTGGTGAGGTCCAGTTGCCTCAGTCTTTCTTCATAGCTCAGTCTCTTTAGCTCAGAAACAAGCGTTGCTGCATATCTCTGGTCCTCGTCTAGTTTAGTTTCCTGTTTCTTCAGGGAGGGTTCCATGCCAGGCCAGCATACTCAAGAATGTATCTCAGTATGTATACAATACTTCAGAAAGCGTTTTATGTACCAAGTTCCTGATTGAACGTGTTGCATTAGGAAGTTCCTCTGTGTTACTTCTACAAGCTTCGCTCTTCATGTCACTTTTCTCCCCTCAGATCCACTGATTCCCAGTCAATTTGTCAATGATTAAAACGTCCAGCTACTATACCAGCTTTGCTCTCAATGTAGAGGACGATGAGTCACAATAACGTGGCTAAAGTAAGTTGACCAGACCACACACTATAAGGTGAAGGGACGACGACGTTTCGGTCCGTCCTGGACCATTCTCAAGTCGATTGATCATTCTCACAATCGACTTGAGAATGGTCCAGGACGGACCGAAACGTCGTCGTCCCTTCACCTCCTAGTGTGTGGTCTGGTCAACAATCTAGGGGGGACATTTCCGCCACATTTTGGATGGTATTTACGAGAGCTCAATTTTGTATTTTCAGCTCTATTTTTATTTTCATATTCTTATCTGCGTCTTCTGTGATTTTCTGCGGTTCACAGTCACAGACAATGTCTCGCTCCCCTGAAATAACTGCACATAATCGCACACCAAATCTGGTAACCTCTGCCCTGAGGAGATATTAAAATTTGGATTATTGTTTATAAAAGTAGATTCTATTATTTTTCTTTTGAAGCCACAGTATTGTGGCTAAATTATATAGGAATTATCCCATATATATTTGTGATTATATTATCCATTACAATTTTGTGACAATTCGGTCTCACATGTTTATATATAACTGAGCTTTCTTAGCCATATCTTACAGACCTCTTGTGTTCGGTGATGCGGGTGTTTAGACCCCTGGCTGTTTGGTCATAATAAAATTTAAAGTGATCTAAACAATAAAATCCTGACATCTCTCCTCGGGACACCTGACTTGACGCCATAAAAGCAGCCACAGCCGTTATTCTCGCATCATCAAGCCCCTCTCCTGTGCCAGGTAAGTCCACTACAGGCTCACCATAGCCCGTGCTACTTGCCCCGCTCCTGTGCCAGGTAAGTCCACTACAGGCTCACCATAGCCCGTGCTACTTGCCCCGCTCCTGTGCCAGGTAAGTCCACTACAGGCTCACCATAGCCCGTGCTACTTGCCTCGCTCCTGTGCCAGGTAAGTTACGGGCTCACCATAGCCCGTGCTACTTGGAACTTATTCCGAGTAGCTGAATCTATAACAACAACAACAGTTATTCTCGCTCACCGCTGAAGAGGACCCAGGTTGGGATCGAGATACAGTCTACATTTCATCGTGGTTTCAAAATAATGGGTTATTTATTTGCATATAATATATTTTCATATATATATTTCTTTGACTCGTCTTTAAAACATTCACATTTGTACAGTAATTCATAATTTTTTACTTTTTCCAATTATTTCTTTTGTTTTTGTTTCAGCCCTTTCACATGGGCTGGACGTTAGAGCGACGGTCTCACTTCCTGCAGGTCGGCGTTCAATCCCCGACTGTGCAAGTAGTTGGGCACTATTCCTTCCTCCCCCCCCCCCCCCCCCTCCTGTCCTATTCCAATTCCTCATCCTGACCCCTTCCAAATGCTATATAGCAATGGTTAAGTCCTTTCTCCTTACGGGATCACTATAGCCCGTGCTACATGAATATTTTGTTCTGAGTAGCTATATTTAAAGCATCCTTTCTCCTGATTGCTACTTTGCCTTCTCCTTCTCTTCCTCCTCCTCCTTCTCCTCCTTCTCCTCCTTCTCCTCCTTCTCCCTCTCCTTAAGCGCCAGGTGGTGATGTAAAACCCCAGTTCTTAGCCTGTGTGTCACTGCCCCATGGGCGACAGGCACCCAGCAGTATAAACATGGCACCCACGCCGCCCTCCCTGGCACTGACTGGACGAGAGCGGCACTAGACTGTCGGTAATTATCCCTCAAGAGTGTAAGCAACTGGAGCATCTGGGACACGGTGGGACAGGCACGCACCCCCGCACCCTTCACCCTCCTTGAACCCGTGACACGGGAGTGGTGGACAAGGAAACAGGACACGGCAAGCAATTAACGGACACGGACAACACTACAAAACTGTAAAAAAAAACGATAATCAATATTTACATTATATAAAAACAGAGGAAAAATAAAAGAGAAGAGGAAAGTTTGTAGACGATAAGACCGGAGACGGTGCTGTAAGGAGACGGCGAAGGTGATGTCAGGGTGGTGGCGTGCAGGGTGAGGTCAAGGCCATTAATTCACGTACCTTCGAAGACGGCGTCGTGGTGGGGGCCATCAGAGGGGTCGTCGCCCCCCACGGACAAGGAATTGTCCTCCATGGACCCTGAGAGAGACACCTGGTCCCCGGCCAGCTGTGGACGGGACACAGGGTCGTCAATAAGTTGTTATGTTTGGCATCCTAACATCATCATTATTATTATTATTATTATTATTATTGTGTTGGTGTGTCTTAACACAGACATAATGACACCGGATAAAAAAGCTACACTTATGTATTAATGTAGTTTCTGTAAAGAGTTGAAACACACCAAGTCTTTCGCAGTCACCTGAGTCGGTTATTACGGTCTGAATGTATGGTTTGAACACGAGCTTGATGGCCAGCATCCAGCCGGTTACGAGGGCCAGCATCCAGCCGGTTACGAGGGCCAGCATCCAGCCGGTTACGAGGGCCAGCATCCAGCCGGTTACGAGGGCCAGCATCCAGCCGGTTACGAGGTCCAGCATCCAGCCGGTTACGAGGGCCAGCATCCAGCCGGTTACGAGGGCCAGCATCCAGCCGGTTACGAGGGCCAGCATCCAGCCGCTTACGAGGTCCAGCATCCAGCCGGTTACGAGGTCCAGCATCCAGCCGCTTACGAGGGCCAGCATCCAGCCGGTTACGAGGGCCAGCATCAAGCCGGTTACGAGGTCCAGCAACAAGCCGGTTACGAGGGCCAGCATCAAGCCGGTTACGAGGGCCAGCATCAAGCCGGTTACGAGGGCCAGCATCCAGCCGGTTACGAGGGCCAGCATCCAGCCGGTTACGAGGGCCAGCATCAAGCCGGTTACGAGGTCCAGCAACAAGCCGGTTACGAGGGCCAGCATCAAGCCGGTTACGAGGGCCAGCATCCAGCCGGTTACGAGGTCCAGCAACAAGCCGGTTACCTCCATTAACAACAACTCCAGTTCTGAGACTCCCCAGGAAAGAAGCTAAACTATTTCCTTACAGTAGGTCCCTGTAAGACCCACCTGGTCGCCACTGCCACCGGGGCTGCCCGGGCCTCCGTCGCCTGTACTGCAGGAGCCGCTGCCGGAGGTCATGGAGCCAGTGAGAGAGGCCTGGTCGAGGGAGTCCTGCTTGCGGTCCAGCGAACTCTTCTTGAAGATCACCTCCTGTCGCGGCGTCTGTATCTTCGTGTACTCCTCTGGAGGGGTAAACAAACAACACGTGGCTCGTGATGGATTCTACTATTGATAAACAACACGTTGTTAATGGTGTACTTTGTTGGTAAACAAAATATTGGTACACAACCACACGTAATATAAACACTTAACAGATGTGTCAAATTCTTGAACAAATTCGTTAAATTACTAAACACATGTGTCAAATTTGTCAAGTTTGCAGCAAAAGCAATATAGATTTAGATGATTTATTCGTTTATTTGTTAGAGATGTATACAAATCATTAGTGATGTGGCTGGAGAAACTCACCGTTGTTAATCATGACGGTGTGAACAGGTTGGGAAGGTCTGTCTCCGGCCTCAACCCCGAGCTCGTCCGTTGGAAGCTCCTCCCAATCCTCCTCTTCTTCCTCTTCCGGGCCCCCGAACCCATTGAAGTCCTTTGGGTGAACCCCGCCGGGGAAGTGTCCAGGGAATCCCCTGTGGAAGAATCCGTGCCGCCCATATGGCCTGAAGGGACGTCGACCTCGTTCGACGAAGCCGAACTTGAAGTTACGGTCGGGGCAATAGGGCGGGCGGCCGTAGAACTTGTTGTCGTAGTAGTACGGCCTTTCGAAGAACGGAGGCTTGCTGTAAGGGCCTCTGTTTTCGAAGTTCCTCAGATTCTCATTGGCGAACCTGTCGAAGCCGCCACGCCTGTCGAAGTTCTTATCGAACCTCTTGTCGAAGTTTCTGTAGTAGTAGCCCTGATGGGGTGCCCCCCGGCGCTGGAAATGGGGTGGGTATGGGGGAGGCGGGGGCCTGGGGTATGGGTAGCGAGCGTGGGGGCTGGCGGCGTCGTGCGGGGGCGTGCGCTCCCCGCCCTCGCCATCGTCCTCCTCACACTCGTCGCCTTCTTGCTCGCTGCTGCCTGGCTGAAGTTCGTCTGGTGGAAGATACAAACACTTAGTATTTGGAAGCAAAAACAATAACTTATTTATAAAACACGTAGCAAACATGATGATATTAAAACTCATCACACACACACACACACATACGGTTCACGGCCTTCCTTGGTGTGTTGTGTTGACCACGTCTGGTGAGAACGGTCTGAACATCAGAGCCTGCAACACCGTCGTGACGTTTGTGGACTTACTGTTATGTACAAGACCAACATTCATAAAGTTCCGCACCTGGCCCAACTCCGTGGACAACCGGTAGTTGTCACCTGTAGCACTAGCTTTTGACCTTTAACAGTCTCATGCTGGAACTGCCTTTCTCAAGCACATCACTCCATCAGCGATCATTCATTACTAGGATGACTCGCATCTGGAACTTGTTCGCTCAACAGGTTGATACACGGGAGATCAGGTTAACTGATCACATGAAGGTTCTGCCACACCGTTGGCTTCAGGCTCATCCTGTTCCTTATATGATTGTTACCTAATGTTGTTAATGAATAAAGTTTATTCTATTGATGCATATAATAGGCTCATTATATGAGGCTAATATATATATTAGGATACATTATTATATATTAGGCTCATTATAGGAGAGTGTGTGTGAGAGAGAGAGAGAGAGAGAGAGAGAGAGAGAGAGAGAGAGAGAGAGAGAGAGAGAGAGAGAGAGAGAGAGAGAGAGAGAGAGAGAGAGAGAGAGAGAATAGTGTTGTTTAAGATTCAGCTCCTCGGATCAAAATGTTCCAAGTAGCACGGGCTATGGTATAGCCCGTAGTGAACTTACCTGGCATAGGAGCGGGGCTGTAACTGTGAGGGGGGATAGAGAGAATTAAGCGGCCTTGTTATCCTATACTCTTGAATAGAGATTACATCTCACCAACCCAGCCCCCTCTCTCAGGCCTCGGAATGCCCACATTTTGTGCATGAATGGTCTTGAAGGTCATAAGGGCTTCAAATACCAATTGGTGGGATCAGCTACCCTACACCCTACCCTACCCTACCCTACCCCACACCCTACCCTACGTTGTCTTTGAGGTTTTCTTCCTTTTTTTGCCTGTCTTGTATATTTTCGGGTTATGTTCCAGGGAAAACTAGTAGCGTTAGGCTTATCATGGGAAGGGAAAGCTCTAAGCTTGAAACAAGTCAGAAGGCGCTTATTCTTGTACTCAACAAGATTGTAATCTTGTAATCTTGTACAGTGAGAGAGAGAGAGAGAGAGAGAGAGAGAGAGAGAGAGAGAGAGAGAGAGAGAGAGAGAGAGAGAGAGAGAGAGAGAGAGAGAGAGAGAGAGAGAGAATTATATTCCTGAATGTATTCCATATTTTTTTTCCTCAAATTGTATCAATTTACATTGGTAATGCCTGGACGTATCTCTCTGTTCATCTATAGTCTGATATGTCCATTATCTTGTTCTGGCTGGAACAGTTCTGTTCTTGTTCACAGTGAACTGAACAATGCTAAGGTCAATATTCAACCCGTCCTCAGAGCAAGTCCTTTCCATCCAGCGGTCGACCCCAAACACGCATTCATCAATTTAACATACTGTTCATCCAAAACAGGAATTTTCTCCAATATAAATTTATATTGTTATATTAGCATATTGTGCATATATAGGCAGTGGTTAGGTTAGAGTAGGTATTTGGGTTCTATTGGTGATTGTTTGTATTTTCATAACGTGGGTTATCTTAAGGTTATCTTGAGATGATTTCGGGGCTTTTTAGTGTCCCCGCGGCCCGGTCCTCGACCAGGCCTCCACCCCCAGGAAGCAGCCCGTGACAGCTGACTAACACCCAGGTACCTATTTTACTGCTAGGTAACAGGGGCATAGGGTGAAAGAAACTCTGCCCATTGTTTCTCGCCGGCGCCTGGGATCGAACCCAGGACCACAGGATCACAAGCCCAGCGTGCTGTCCGCTCGGCCGACCGGCTCCCTGCCGGTCGGCCGGCAGGGAGCCGGCCGATACAATCTTAAACAACACTTACTCGGCCGACTGGGTGAAGCAGTTATAGAATTGTGGTTCGAACAGAACGAAGCACTTGTTCCGGAAGTGTTCGAACGTCATCAATTGTGAGTCGTGTGTAAACCGCTTTTCATTCATAAACAGCGGGTTTGGCGGGTGCATGGAATGGACTTTGGCCTTTGTTTATGAGGACGAGCTGATAATACTACCTCGTGTTTCACCAGCCCCGTCCGAGTGTATCAGTTCACGCTAACAACCACGTCCAGTACATGTTTGCTCTTCCGTTAGAGGGTCGTTATAATCCGAGCAAATTGCGATCTTCGAACATGTCACAAGGTCTTGCTTCTCCACCTTCTGACCGAGCGCCTCGCCACAGTAATTACTGTCATCGACGATTACTTTAGCGTCGGAGTCTGTAAGTAATATTGGCTCCTCATGCATAATATTATCGTTTCCCCCTAATTGCGTTTGGGAGGTCCATATAGAAATGCAATTTGTATTTCCCAATGACTTATTTCAGCGTATTTCAACATAGGAAATCTCACAGGTTTCACCACCTTGCTGGTAAATCTTTGCGTCTGCGTTCCTACATAACATTACATCATTCCACGAGTACGCAAGCTTTACCTGACGCGCGTATCCGGGTACAATTAATTAGTCTTGTCCATCTCTCCTTATGTTAGAGCTAAGCACAGCAACTGTCAAACTGCTCATACGCATTCACACTTTAACGTGCTATAGGTCCATGTTAGAGTATAGAAAAATATAACATTAGAGAGAGAGAGAGAGAGAGAGAGAGAGAGAGAGAGAGAGAGAGAGAGAGAGAGAGAGAGGAGAGAGAGAGAGAGAGAGAGAGAGAGAGAGAGAGAGAGAGAGAGAGAGAGAGAGAGAGAGAGAGAGAGAGAGAGAGAAACAAAGGCTTCCCATGAGCTATTGGAAGGGAAAGTTGTAATAAGCCTATACTACCAACAGTCAGCAGACAACACTCAGGGCTGGCGAAGGGTGGGTGTAGGGAAGCAGGGGCCCCAGCCACCAGGGCCCTGCTAACCATGACTGATAGTGTCGTGAACCTTCTAGTGGACGGACCCTCCACTGCGCCCAGTGGAGGGACTCCTATACAGACACCCTCCCCCCATTTTCCCTCCGAAAAAAAGGGACGCACTCTGCCTTGATGGATTGTCAGGGTGGAGAGAGAGAGTGGATGAAAGAGGAGGCGAGAGAAGCGGTAGGAACCAGCATCAGCGTAGAGACCTGGGGCCAGATTCACGAAACAGTTTCACCAGTACTTACGAACGTGTACATCTTTCCTCAATCTTTGACAGCTTTGGTTACATTTATTAAACAGTTTACAATCATGAAAACTTCCAAATCAACTGTTGTTATTGTTATAAACAGCCTCCTGGCGCTTCGGAGCTCATTAACTGTTTAATTATTGTAAACAAAGCCGCCAAAGATTGAGAAAAGATGGACAGGTTCGTAAGTGCCTGCGTAACTGCTTCGTGAATCTGGCCCCCTGGAGGTGCAGGAGGAAGGGAGTGCAGTGGCAGAGACAGACAGGAAGAGAACTCGAACCTTTGAGCATGGAACACACTGACCAGGTAGGAGGAGTGGAGGCAGGAGTGAAGGTAGGAGGAGTGGGGTCAGGAGGAGTGGAGGCAGGAGTGAAGGTAGGAGGAGTGGGGTCAGGAGGAGTGGAGGCAGGAGTGAAGGTAGGAGGAGTGGGGTCAGGAGGAGTGGAGGCAGGAGTGAAGGTAGGAGGAGTGGGGTCAGGAGGAGTGGAGGCAGGAGTGAAGGTAGGAGGAGTGGGGTCAGGAGGAGTGGGGTCAGGAGTAGTGGAGGCAGGAGTGAAGGTAGGAGGAGTGGGGTCAGGAGGAGTGGAGGCAGAGGGTGACCACGAGGCGCAAGGGCGCCATCACGTGGACACGAGGAGGGATGCTGGGAGTCAGGAGAGGAAGTGAAACGCTCATCCCGGAGTCAGGTGAGGCTGGCGAGGCGTCCCTCGCCTGATGAGCGTGTGTGAGTGCGCATTACGCTGGCCCCGCCCTCCTCCATAACACCGTGGCGCCCATGACAACGCCATCCCGCGCCCACCACGCCCACAAGCGACCGATCCTCCAATAGCAATGAGCTGAAAAATATCCCTTTACGCTAGTTGGTGTACTTAACCGCTTAACTGCTGACGCCGGGGGGAAAAACTTGCTATTCACCACGAGTTGGTAAAGAGGGGGGTTGTCTTGGTGCTAGAGAAAGGTTGTTCAGATAATAAGCGTACACTGAGCGTAGAAAAGGGTATTCATTAATGATTCCAGTCAGGGGGGACGGTGGTAATCTTGCCTCAGGTGGGCCCTGACACCCTCCGCTGGGGCGCCAGTGGACTGAGTACTCCAGTGGAGTACTCCCACACCCTTCACTCGGCACCACCTTGGTAACTCAGTACTAGTTAATTACTTGTTCACCCCCTTCACGCAACTGTCCACCCTTCCCCCCCCCCCCTCAAAAAAAAAATGATGAAAGAACACATTCATAACATAAAACAACAATTATATTCTTAACTTTTAAACGCCACAATCACTATTTTCTGGCATGTGAAGGAGGCTGTGAGTAGCCACGGGTACAGCTGTAGTAATGGTACCGCCAACTGTCTACTTCTGCAGACCATTCGTACGGACTCTTATCCAAGAGTCCGTACGGTTGCACAAATGGCATGCAACGGTACTAAACTTGACTGAGATCACATTCCTAATACCTGCAATACCACACCTTCAGCCACACGAGTGTTCCAGCGTCCTCCCGTGCTCAAACATCCAGTGACCAACAATGGCCTGCCTTCACAACCTAAAGAAGGAATCGAACTTATGCACTAGTCGACTGAAAGCTGAAAGGCAGGCCTCAAGAGCTGAAGTTCAGCCCCTCACAAGCACAGCCAACGGCATTCACCCCAAGTTTCAATGATCGTATACCCCCGTTTTTGCTATCACGAGCACTGTAGAGTTAGCGTCGATTTCTGCTCACTAAGGCAAAAATCT